GTAGCTCCGCTCCGTTGAACTGTTTGTTGACTGCTAAACCAGTGGGACCAAATCGGTGTTCGTGTCAACTTTTGAACGTCACAATAAATTGACATTTTTTTTTTTAGCCGTGAATAATTTTCCTACCGTGGAATATATCGCCCACGCGGAACCATCTGTGGGAAATTCCGACAACTGAATATTTCCTTTCACAGCCAGTTACTGCGTTTGGATCGGTGTAGTGGACTTTTGGAGTCCCCATTTGACTATTGATTCTTTTCCTATTGTGATTTTGTGGTTTTGTATTGGTTACTTTTGCTTGTTAATTTATCCGAACACGCTGATAAGATCCTAGTCCGCTACACATCCTACTGCCAGTTACTGCCTGTTAACTAGCAGTTGCTGGCAATCAAATGCTTGGAAATGCTCAAGCTCTTTACACTGCAAATGCCAAGTTTCATGGCTGTCAATGTTGTTCCGTAAACACGGCTTGATAGCCTTAGTGAGCTCATCTACAACTCCAGTTGACAAATATTACTCGTGCGGTGGTTGATTTAGCACCGACCTTATGTGTCACCGTACTGATATGGTTTATGCAACCGTAAAGATAACCGAAAATCATGACAAATAAAATCCCAATTTCGAAGTTTCAAACAGGCAAATGAAAGGACACTTAGTACATACTAATGGTTGTCAAATAACGGAACAACGTCATCTCCATAGTCCATGTTTACCAGCCTCACTCCAGAAGTGATTTTGATACTCGGATTCATGGTCACTTGGACAGTAAAAAAATTGAAAATAATGGGAAACGGCACATTACGAGAGAATCCCAATAGTTGTGATAAAGCCCTAGGATAGCTTCAGTAAATTATAATGCGATCATTCAATCTTGCTAAGTCAGTAATCGCAAATGGCTTCATATTCTGGAGGAAATCTGCCGGACGCAGAACATTATCCAGCTCAGCAAAACAGGGGTTTAAATAGTGCGATTTTGATACGCCAAATTGTCAGTCTACTGCCGGAAAATGACTTAAAGCGATTAAAATATGCAAGGGGAAAAACTTTTATTCTTTGCATTACAAGCGTTCCAAGAATTTTGTGGTGACTAAGTGGGACAAGATTAAGGGGGGCGTTGGGACTGAATGCTGGCGAAAGCGTATCGTCGTGAGTGTGAAACAAAGTGATATTCAATATGTATAGGTATCTACGATCGAAATGTTTTAAAAAGTCGCGCTACACATTGATACGATCTTAACCAATCTGATGGAGGTTCACTACTGTTGAAAAAATTAATATGGACTATGATTCTGAGGTAAGACTCAGTGCTAAAGGACTTTTTAAAAGTAATCCTACAAAATTCCCTACTTGAGAGAGTGTTTTTTGTCGTTCTGTTAAATGCGTTGTCTCAAGAATACTCAGGGTAGTTCAATGTCCGACATAGCTAAGAACGGGGTCCATTTTATTATACGAATTAGTTTATCTAACATCCTTGACTTAGATGATAATTTACCCCATAGAGTATGACCACTTACACGATCCGACTGAATCCATTCTTTTTTCAACCACAATATTGAATGAATATAGCATCGCATTCAGGATTTTTCATCAAACGTGCATAAAGTGTATGGAGAACATTTGTTTTCCGAATGAGCGACTCAGGACTCAAGGAATAACAAGCATTGAACACAGAGCAGTAGAAAGAGTAAACCGAAAATACCGATTGAACATGTTGGTAGTGAAGACCAAAGATTTTAGTGCAAAAAGGGTAATTTCCTAGTAATTAATCCAGTGAGGAAATGGCGGAGCATAGTTGTATCTAAATAGATGCATGACCAGCGTGTTTGCTCAAGCTGTCTTGAAATTACAGTTGTCGCTCGTTTATTCTATGACTTTTGGGTTTTTTGGCGACTCCGTGAACGCAAGCCATTGTTAAAATTGGCGGAGCATAGTTGTATCTAAATAGATGTATGACCAGTGTGTTTGCCCAAGCCACATACACCAGTGCTGTCTTGAAATTACAGCTGTCGCTCGTTTATTATATGACTTTTGGGTTTTTGGCGACTCCGTGAATGCAAGCCATTGTTAAAACTGAAAAAAGAGCTGAAAGATCGTTTAGTTTTATACACTCGGTTTTTCGGGAGACTCACCTGGAACCGAGCTGAATCTCTCAGTTTTGATGTTTCCAGGCAACTGAATGTGCTGCATCAGGTCGTGTCATATTTCAGTCACTACGATATTCGAGATATCGTGCAATTTGGTTTGAAGTAGAACATGGGGTTTAGGGAAACCCGGGGACTGCGCCTACCTGATGAGCCCCAAGAAGGGCGAAACCGGTCGTGGGCTGTCAAAGAGTTTTCAGCAACCTTATGAGTAGTGCATTGCAAAGATCGTTCAATTTCTCTCACGTGATGAGTGAGCCTTATGAGTAGTGCATTACAAAAACCTTTCAATCTATTTCACGTGATGAATGACCAGCTTGAATCATAATCAATAAACTTGAATCACTTGTGAGGCTGCAGTGAATTTTGAGAAAATCGCAAAAGTATTCGGTCACAGAATGCAACTGAAACAAACGGTTTCTTGTTGAACATGATCGATGGAATCCATGTGGGCTTTTTAGTTTTATGAAAATTGCACGCCATATCAAGCGTTTTCCGATAGAATCCGCAGATTATTGCAGTATTATGGTTTGAACAAGAAGCACTTCCTTTATTTCTCATCGGAGTTTCATTTCTGTAATTAAAGCAAATATGTACCAATCAGCGGGTAAATACTGCGCAACTGTTTTATCTTGGTTAGGATCATCGGCAGTGTACGTGTCATGATTCTCCATAAAGAATCAAACCCTCGTCATCCGGTTTAGTAATTAGAGACTAAACTGTTCAGTCACGGGATACCAGTCAGAAATGTAACTTAGTCACATTTAGGCAGGATGTGGAGTCACTCATGCTTTAATCAAGGAATTCACATCTCGTGATCGCGTGTTAACTGACTATTCACATGACGACTTGCAATATGGAAGGTTCATCCGTTGGGTGAACTATCCCTCCCTCTAAGCTACTTAAATTGCTGAAGTACTTCAAAAGCTAAATTGAATAAACAAAATAGGGGGACATCTCAATTCTGATGTAACGCTATACAAAAAATAGTTTGGTTGATTGACATCTGTTTAAATCTCATCCACATCAGAAAAGGCAAAGAAGACCCGGGTTGGACACATTCCACAGCGTTGCGAATTCGCGTACGGATTACTTGTGGATTGATCGTAGAATTTGTGGGTGATTAATCCAAATAACCGTCCTAATCCACCTGCCAAAAGTCTACTAGTCTGCCACAAAAGCACACAAGGCCAAGCATCAAACGCAGGCAACTGGCCACAGCCAAGGGATAGTGGATATATGGAAGATAGTGCAAATGCATCGGTCACACGTCGTACTGGAGAGAAGGCAGTGCATCCCGGCCGAGTAAAGCCGAAGCTGAAATGTTGCAGTTCCATTCGCGACAGCCACCCCAGCCAATTAGAAAGGAATGCGGTTGATAAAACAATGGACATTCCAAAGAAGCGATAGATACGGGTAGGAGCATTTGGAACAGGTGGGAAGATGCAATCCCACAGTGAAAGCCATTCGATGCTGAGCAAGAAACGTGAACGTTCTCCTGGTTCAGTACGTGGGCGCGCGTTGATCATCCGGTTGCATATGGGAGCGAATATGGATAGAGTCTGTAATTAAAAAACGATGACATTGTACAAAAGTTCCGTCCGTGGAAAATGATGTCGAAATTTCATATGGTCATTTTTTTCAAAGTGAGCCACAGTGTTGATAAAAATGTTCTTTGTACGACCACCTTCAGTTCTTCTGGACAATTTTCTGTAGATACAAATTATTGAACTAGGTTGCTTCTTCCTCTCATCTACGAGATGCACAAGCTTTTGGGTTAACTGAACAGCTAACTTGTAATGAAAGCTGATTGTTCTCAAATTATCTTGATCTAAATACTCTCTACATCATGCGCGCAGGATCACGTTCTTCTACTCGATGTCGTTGTTACTACAGAGTTAATGCTGACAGTTATTCAAGGTCTGTTGATAAGTGAGCAAAACACGAGATTAAACTGGCAGACTTTCAACACCCAGGAATTTGGGTCATTGTCCATTGTCCACACACAAACTCACCGCCTTGAAGCTCACATTTTACTTCCGATGAGAAGATAAACCTCCTACAAGATTTTCACAGATGACTAATATAGAAACTTCAAAAGATTTTTTTAGTTCAGCACATAGATAGACCACATTTTCGGGGTACGTCCCAACTGAAACCTCAAAGTATCTTCATAACCTGTGAAATTTTGCCCAATGGGATAAGAGCGTTGGTGCTTATGATGGTGACGATGATCATAGACCGATTCGACTGAAAAGCAAGTGACGTTTAGAAGCGAATATGTTCGGCTTGTAACACATTCGTAATTCCACAACTACGCTTGACTTTAAAGTGGTCGACGGTTGATATGAACAGCTGTCAAAATGCTTTTTACCTGCCTGAATGGTAACCGCGCAAATGATCTCGTTTACAGACTAGGTGTGAGCCAATACAGGCTTACAATTCTGTCACGTAGGTAGAAATATCGTGTTTCGAATACAAAACCTGAGTAGGAGACTGCCAGTTTCTTAATACCGAACAAATACTTTACAGACTGTTTCATTACAGTAAAACAACAGCAAGATATACAACTAACTGAGCTTACATCTGACCACCATGCGCAATTGAAAATTAAAATTAAAAGACTACACTATACAAGACTCAACAGAAACTTTCATGCCCTTTCAAATCACATCAAAGTCAACCTACTACTATGGAATGCTTCGTACTAGTCTTAGCTGAAAGTAGTTTGCACCAAGTGGTACACGGCAAATGTTCACAAGATTTGTTCTGTTATCATGGAATCTTCGGTGTAACTTTGATACTACATGCATGTGTTAGAGCGAAATAGGTGGAATACAATTGCCCTTGATGCACTACTCCAGGTTTATAAGTTCAGTTGGTAGCGAGGTTGCCATAGTAACGTCAGGCTGCAAATACATTGTCGTTCAGCTTGAACAACTGTTTGGTGCCCAAATGCTACGCCTCTGAAAGGAACTACGAGGGCTGAGATACTGCCATGTCGCCCAACCCAAGGTAGGAGCAATCAAGACACCGGAGTTGGGTACGGACCACTGAACTTCGGATCAGTAAGTTGGCGCCTTAACCAATGAGCTATCTCGAGCTCCAAATACAGAGCAATCTGTGACATTGATCATTAGACCCATGCACGACACATGATGTAGACTGCTATTCGTGGATTTACCTCGGTCATATTACGTGTGCCCTCTACAGCTACTTTTTTCCTGAGATCAATTCTAATCCACGTTTTAAAGCTGGAATTGCTGTGGATATCACGTACAATCGTGTGCAATCGCAATTCTATGGCTTGTGGAAGGCATTCTAACTGAAGAACTTGCTAAGAACCCAATTTACTCATCCCATCAAATTTTTACTTTCCTTACCTCCGGTATTAATCAGTTTACCAATGTTCAACTGTGGAGCCTTGCTCCTTATAGTTCGTTTGAACTTCTATAAACCAATGGTCAATCTCCTACAACTAAAGCCACGTAAGTTATGGCGCTCAATAAAACGTGTAGGGGATGTTATTAAAATGATCCAGGTGATTCTCGGACTTCTCATCTACTCCCACATACATTGGGATTAAATTTGAAACAGTGATGGCCACGGAGCTTCCAAATGCATATTTGCCGTTGAATTTTCATTCCAAAAGTATGGATCACCTGTAATGTGCCTAAAACGTAAATGTCAGTAGGGTCTTCGAGGAGGATAAACAGAAAAAGCAATCCATTAATGCGACAGTCGCCTTTGTTACTCATACCTGAGGTATTCCTGCCAGGCACGCAAACTCCGTGCTAAGCGACAAACGGCTACGTGGTATCAGTCAGTTTCAAAGTCAAACATGATTTCCCACACATGCATTAGAGTAGAGAGCAGAAGCAAGGTAGGGCCCGCAGATTGTGCGGTCGGGACTTGTAGACTGTCAGATACTGGTCACAAGGGACTCTGGGATGATTATGCACACGGTGGTTGAGCAGTCACCTAGAGCAGCGTGCAAAAGATCCCATGAGCACAAATATAGAAAAGTGAAACTTTAAGAAATATTCGTGCTTGATGTAGTACGGGGTTTCTAACGAACGTAACTCTCGGTTAGAATGAATTGTGCGGCGCGTAATAACTGCTACAGAGTGACCCACATTGGCAACGTACCGTTGATATATAGTGCACACATTTAGGCGGAACTGGACTGCGCGGTGAAGTAAGACTTCTGGAGCTTTGAACAGAAACATAAATCTTGCAAATTAAGTGAACCTGACAGACAGATTCATAACTTGCACAATTAACTAAGAAAAAGATGTAATCTGGGTGTCACGGGGTTCAGGATAACTCATTCAATTAGCAGTTCTGAAAGAGAACAATTCCGCAACTTTGAGTTTTAGAGCCTAAATTTCCCTCTTGCTTCTGAGACACCGTCAGGTCTTTGAACAGTGTTTCAAAATACGTTTTATATCATTGTACTTTGGTCAACGAATTAGATAATGTGATGTCCGTGTTCTACAGGCGCGGTTTCATTCAAAAGTCTTCTATTTTCTATATACATTCACAGAACGTTCATAGAGAAACACATTCATACCAATCAAGGTATAGAGTAGGGCTTACGCACTGTTCTTATGATTCAGGTAAACAAATGGTCTCCAATTAAATGACGTATTCAAAAGGGGATTGCCGTGATTCTTATTATGAGTGCATTTATGTTTGTCGTGGGACTTACCAAGGGATCAATTGTAATCAAATGAAGAGGTTCAAAGTTTGAGAAACCCTTCATTCTGTTTTTCAAGTCGGCAAACAGCCGTTTTGCAGAGGCTCTGGGCCATGAAGTTACGGAGTCAGCGTCAGTTAAGCATGGCGTTATGAAATAGCCTGGAAGAGCATAGTTTGGCCACCTTGTTTGTTGAAGGAGCCAGTGTAACGGCCTGAGCTTGAATGTAAGTTGGGACTCGAATTCTTGCCAGTGGACATCGGCATCTTGTCCGCATGGAACTGAAACTGGTACAAAGTTGGTCACTGTGGCATTCCAGTGACGCGAACGACCTTGTTGTAACGTGAACAATAATCCCCCCTCTCTTACCACAGGACGTGGATCTTCGTGTGGTCCACACGCAAAAGCGAAGCGTTCGGCAGATTTGTGAGATTCCACGAAATAATAACGGCGAACTACGGGGTCCTCATCAGGAAACTCGGTCAACCATTGTACGTCATGCACTTCCATCCAAAAAGCATCAAAGTACAGTTCTCCTCCAGAAGATACCTCACTAAATTGCCAGCTGTATTGTGAGATAGAGCTATCATTGGAATACCGCGGTCTTACGGTGCAGATTACGTCCCGTTCGTCCACTGTAGATGAGTCACCTTCGTTGTTTTGGCATTCCAGTTCAGTTGCAGATGCTGGCGGTATTGTTTCGGATGCCTGGTGGTAAAAGACGGAAGCGAAAAATTCGGGTATTGTTCCAAAAAAAACGCAGACGGTAAACTGACTTTTTTTATTTAACCTGGCTAACTTTGAACGACAAGCACTGAGAGAGGTCACGTCTAGAGACAGTGGAGCACATTCTATATGGACGTAAGCATACACTTCTTTGTCGATTATTGAAACCACTACTCATAATCTCTATTACGGACATGGCTCTTAATGTGAAGTAAAAACACCAACCCCATTTAGGGCTGTATCTGAAAATATAGCTAGTGTGTGACGTTTACGGAAAACGCTGAGGAGATTAAATTGAATGTAAACTCGTTTTACTCTTGGGAACGGGTTACTTTAGTCACAACTGAGTAAGTAATTAAATGGACAATGAGACCTAGACTGGTCTTAAGCACTCAGAGTTTTCAAGGTTCTCGTGGTAAGCGGGGTGCAGTTTTACAGTCGTAAGAGCAAGAATCTAATTAACCGGACTTGTCCGGACAATTGAGGTGCACCCTTGAGATGAAGTAGCAGGCGGAATTCATCCATTTTTGGTGTTGTTAATAGACCGTGATAACGTGAAAGACAAATTCTGTTCACTGTCGTGATTTGCACGGACAAATCTAAAGTAAGTGGCTGTATATCCAGTAAGCCTGTCTGAATATTACATGTTCTAAACTCAAGGCACAATGTTTTCATAGGGCATGCACAGATATGGTCTATTCCATGTCCAAATAACATGGAGCTGTTTTGCAAGTTTTGCGCGTATTTCTGCGCTCAACACTGTGCTAGATTAACCAGAATCTTATTCATAGTGTCGAGGCAGGCCGCGTTTGAGCAGATTTACTTTTGTCCACAAAAAATGCATTAAAGCTAATTAAAACCATTTAAATAAAGGAAAGTACTTACAAGGTTGCTGAAAATCTGTCGACAGCCCACGACCGGTTTCCCCCTTTTCGGGGCTCATCAGGTGGACACAATTATACTTGAACCCAAATTCAAACAATCTCGTTTATGAGAAAAGAGAAGTGTATTCAGTCAGTAGGTTGGTTTTGTTTGTATATGTATTAAAGCTTCGAAGGAATGAAAGCCATCATAGAATCATACAATCGAACAAGATGGCCTCAATTTAGAATACCATGCCAAACAGCAGCATTATGTGTAAGGATTCTTAAAGGAGCAAGGGATCAATTTAGGCCGATATATATTCGATGTAGGCAAGGGAGACTAAGCTTAAAACTGATACTTTGCATAGGAATGGCTCGCAACGAAACGTATCCTAGTTTTCTGTTAGGGACGCACTTCTCATTAGTGACCACCTCAGGACTGGCTAGAATTCCTCGCTCCTTAGAAGCGAGATATATAGAGGTCACGTGTTTTGAGCTAATTTATTAGAAATATAACTGGATTTTTTTTGTGGTATGTGCTTGGTAAGGGAACGACAGTCTTGAATCTCTTGACATTAAGGAACAACTTTTACAATACTTCCATTCAGTACTTGCTGAGTGAGACAAAACATTCGCACGAAAACTAGTAAAAAATAACGTCTTTAGCTAACTCATTTATCCATTTGGACAAGATTTCTACGAAATGCCGTTCTACGTTCCTCATTATTCTGCACAAATGCTGGTTGAATAATTTAATCAAATATACTAAAACGTGTCTATGATTAAAAATTTGGATTTTCTTGTACTAGACACACAAGCATTCCATTGCTATCTTCTTCTGGAACCTGTCACATGCTTCAAAAAGACCGAATTTTTAGTGCACTTTTGCGCGATACCAGTTCGGAAGGAGTACGAGGCTATATGTGCAAAAAGACAAGTCTAACACGGGTCATTCCAGATTTTAGACAATAATATATATATATATATATATATATATATAGTGTTGGGTTGTGTTTACAATAAGGGAAAATTAATTTTGATCCTATTGTGACCAACTTCTGGGCCTGTGTAAGTGTCCTTAAATACTACTTCGTTTGGTTTAATAAATGGGATATAGAGAAACCCTGCATCAAAGCAGACTTTTTGCTTGATCCACTGACATTGCTAACATAATTAGCATCCTACTCAACAACATTGCTGCTACCCTAAAGTGGGTTGTTTTTGGTGAGATAATATGCAAAAACTCAGTCATCTCAACCTGAGCAACCAGACTTGTACTACTTCTGAGGGGCCCCTACAAGGAGGCAACCTGTTTTGCATATAGCAGATAAATGCTGGACAGAGTCACTTTGCTCTCTTTGTGGTCCAGTTGACGGTACTCTCAGCGTCGTACTGCGTTTTACATACCCACATGCATACTCATATGTTCACATATCAATCACAAAGCCGGTTTCAGATACTCCAGTTCCAAAGTTATAGTGAGGTCTGAAAACACGACTGACACCCAGCTAGCACATCACACTATTAGTAGTCTCCCGTTAGAACGGACCATGTGAAAAGCCGTTTGGAAACATTTCGGAATGCCTATGGCATTCTGTCAAAGTATGATACCCTGATTGTCGCGGTTTTGTCCCTTACTTGTAAACTGCAACATGGACAATATGATCATTCTCCGGTGAAACATTGCTGTTAGTGCTGATGTGGTCTTTAGTGATGGTGACTTGCAGCAGCCGATCACAAGTAAACATCACCAGAGGCTAATTGGTGTTATTTGTGGTTTCTCTGCAAATGGTCAGTTCTGTCATGTTAATCCACCAAATTATCGGACGTTATGTCATTGAGTGCTATGCCACTTATACTGGAGAGTAGGCATAAATACCCGAAAAAAATGTGTTGCCCACACGAAGGATCCATAGAATTCAACCGTTCGTGGATTTCACCGAAAATGGTTGAATTAAGTTTTTTTCTGCCTGCTTCCCGGAGAATCATATGTCTTTTTACCAACCAGCTCTCTGCAATACTTGGCGTTTCTCGGAAACCATAAGATCGAGTTTCTCCAGAGCTACTTGTCAAAACACCTGTGATTGTTTACGAATGACGTACAGGCAGTTTTTCAAAAGCTAAAAGCTACATCATGGCTGCATCATTTGAAGGTTTGCTTCGTGCATTCAATCAAAATGAAGCACTGTCTGAATGCCCTGTGCTATCTTATAAGCTTGGATTACGCAACAGTGTCAGCGCTCACCGCGTTAGTAATACGCGCATAGACATCACCACAATTTCGAGGTGGAATGATTTCAGGTGGTAAAACGTCGGTTATCTTATACACGAGCATGTATCACACACTTTAGAGTTAGAAGGACTATATAGAGGTAACGCGAGGTGCTGTCATTGATAATGAGCCAAGCGCAACAGTTTACCTTACATAGTAGAGACTAAATCACACAAAAATTAGTTATCCATGATCGCCTGCCAGAAATTTTGTCATACTCCAAATCCAGTGCCGTTCTTCATGAAAGGGTAACTTGAATCAGGCACTACAGTGTCTTGATCAGTTAATTGTGGGAACTCGATCTTTTTAGACTTATCCCTAGAGGGTTTATAAGACTGTGGTATCCGTCCCAAAGGTCGACTTTGTACATACAAATTCTCTGCTTCTTGTATAATACAACTTAAATGACAGTCTAAACTCACACAACAACCATTTCAGATATACCTAGAATTAATGTTTTGTTCACTTTGCCGGATGGGAAAAGTTATCTGTTGAGAGGGGGCGGGAATTTTCATCTATGACGATGATGACAGTCATGAGGGTGAATTACAGCTGGCTAATCGCAGAGACTCACCGACACTTCTGCTCCCTCCGGCGGTGTAACCAACTGCTTGGAAGCTTCGGGTGCGCATCGAGGATCTTTTCGCATACTGTCGTCCGGGAACTCATTTATGTCCTTATTAAGGTTTCTCCATGTGCACCAGGCTTTATTCGATGAATAGTAAACGCCATGCACATATCCCCCTGCCAAAGCTTGACTAATGCATTCTGACGGTGATTCATCTTCGTATGGCACACAAGAATTCATTGGGTCCTCGAAGTTTGGTTGATAGAACAAATATAGAAGTGCGTTCGCCAAATCAACCAGAGTGAACGACCTGTGGTAAATTGTTGTCACAATAAGGAACCGTTTGCAACACAAAAATAATTACCTGTTCCAGTTCTTCCATAGATTTATGCATGTCCTGCCGGAATCTGTCGGCAGCATTATATTTGGGTGGAAAACAGGCGTCATGCATCGAATATCCGGGGGCACTTCTGGATACTGTGAGGTGTTTTCTATCTGGGTTGGGGGAGTAAAAGCATCAGCAGAGTTAGTTGCCACAAGTCGACTCAACACACGTTCTGTATGGCTGTGATAAATTCTCGAACAATTACCGTGGATAATTTGTTTGTGTAGTCATGATGTGACTTTATGTTACGGTTAGTCAGAGTGACTTACTCACAATTTGCATGTAAAGCGTCCAAAACGCTCAAGCGATTTTGGTCACATAAGCACTCCAAGCCTAGCCCTAATACACTACTCTCAAGGTTGCTGGAAACTTCTTGACAGACCACTCCAAGCCTAGACTAGTAAACGGCTGGTGAGAACCACTAGAACTCCACAGTCCGTAACGCAATCACTAAAACTCCATGTTCTCATACTAAAAAGGATTTCAACGGTGTATATCGACTTTTTTTCCTCAAAAGCTCTTTGGATGCTTTCCAGATCTTAGAAAATAATATATATATATATATATATATAGTGTGGGGTTGTGTTAACAATAAGGAAAAATTAATTTTGATCCTATTGTGACCAACTTCTGGGCCTGTGTAAGTGTCCTTAAATACACTTCGTTTGGAAAGAAAAATTAATTTTGATCCTATTGTGACCAACTTCTGGGCCTGTGTAAGTGTCCTTAAATACTACTTCGTTTGGTTTAATAAATGGGATATAGAGAAACCCTGCATCAAAGCAGACTTTTTGCTTGATCCACTGACATTGCTAACATAATTAGCATCCTACTCAACAACATTGCTGCTACCCTAAAGTGGGTTGTTTTTGGTGAGATAATATGCAAAAACTCAGTCATCTCAACCTGAGCAACCAGACTTGTACTACTTCTGAGGGGCCCCTACAAGGAGGCAACCTGTTTTGCATATAGCAGATAAATGCTGGACAGAGTCACTTTGCTCTCTTTGTGGTCCAGTTGACGGTACTCTCAGCGTCGTACTGCGTTTTACATACCCACATGCATACTCATATGTTCACATATCAATCACAAAGCCGGTTTCAGATACTCCAGTTCCAAAGTTATAGTGAGGTCTGAAAACACGACTGACACCCAGCTAGCACATCACACTATTAGTAGTCTCCCGTTAGAACGGACCATGTGAAAAGCCGTTTGGAAACATTTCGGAATGCCTATGGCATTCTGTCAAAGTATGATACCCTGATTGTCGCGGTTTTGTCCCTTACTTGTAAACTGCAACATGGACAATATGATCATTCTCCGGTGAAACATTGCTGTTAGTGCTGATGTGGTCTTTAGTGATGGTGACTTGCAGCAGCCGATCACAAGTAAACATCACCAGAGGCTAATTGGTGTTATTTGTGGTTTCTCTGCAAATGGTCAGTTCTGTCATGTTAATCCACCAAATTATCGGACGTTATGTCATTGAGTGCTATGCCACTTATACTGGAGAGTAGGCATAAATACCCGAAAAAAATGTGTTGCCCACACGAAGGATCCATAGAATTCAACCGTTCGTGGACCGCAAATGGAATGGTTGAATTAAGTTTTTTTCTGCCTGCTTCCCGGAGAATCATATGTCTTTTTACCAACCAGCTCTCTGCAATACTTGGCGTTTCTCGGAAACCATAAGATCGAGTTTCTCCAGAGCTACTTGTCAAAACACCTGTGATTGTTTACGAATGACGTACAGGCAGTTTTTCAAAAGCTAAAAGCTACATCATGGCTGCATCATTTGAAGGTTTGCTTCGTGCATTCAATCAAAATGAAGCACTGTCTGAATGCCCTGTGCTATCTTATAAGCTTGGATTACGCAACAGTGTCAGCGCTCACCGCGTTAGTAATACGCGCATAGACATCACCACAATTTCGAGGTGGAATGATTTCAGGTGGTAAAACGTCGGTTATCTTATACACGAGCATGTATCACACACTTTAGAGTTAGAAGGACTATATAGAGGTAACGCGAGGTGCTGTCATTGATAATGAGCCAAGCGCAACAGTTTACCTTACATAGTAGAGACTAAATCACACAAAAATTAGTTATCCATGATCGCCTGCCAGAAATTTTGTCATACTCCAAATCCAGTGCCGTTCTTCATGAAAGGGTAACTTGAATCAGGCACTACAGTGTCTTGATCAGTTAATTGTGGGAACTCGATCTTTTTAGACTTATCCCTAGAGGGTTTATAAGACTGTGGTATCCGTCCCAAAGGTCGACTTTGTACATACAAATTCTCTGCTTCTTGTATAATACAACTTAAATGACAGTCTAAACTCACACAACAACCATTTCAGATATACCTAGAATTAATGTTTTGTTCACTTTGCCGGATGGGAAAAGTTATCTGTTGAGAGGGGGCGGGAATTTTCATCTATGACGATGATGACAGTCATGAGGGTGAATTACAGCTGGCTAATCGCAGAGACTCACCGACACTTCTGCTCCCTCCGGCGGTGTAACCAACTGCTTGGAAGCTTCGGGTGCGCATCGAGGATCTTTTCGCATACTGTCGTCCGGGAACTCATTTATGTCCTTATTAAGGTTTCTCCATGTGCACCAGGCTTTATTCGATGAATAGTAAACGCCATGCACATATCCCCCTGCCAAAGCTTGACTAATGCATTCTGACGGTGATTCATCTTCGTATGGCACACAAGAATTCATTGGGTCCTCGAAGTTTGGTTGATAGAACAAATATAGAAGTGCGTTCGCCAAATCAACCAGAGTGAACGACCTGTGGTAAATTGTTGTCACAATAAGGAACCGTTTGCAACACAAAAATAATTACCTGTTCCAGTTCTTCCATAGATTTATGCATGTCCTGCCGGAATCTGTCGGCAGCATTATATTTGGGTGGAAAACAGGCGTCATGCATCGAATATCCGGGGGCACTTCTGGATACTGTGAGGTGTTTTCTATCTGGGTTGGGGGAGTAAAAGCATCAGCAGAGTTAGTTGCCACAAGTCGACTCAACACACGTTCTGTATGGCTGTGATAAATTCTCGAACAATTACCGTGGATAATTTGTTTGTGTAGTCATGATGTGACTTTATGTTACGGTTAGTCAGAGTGACTTACTCACAATTTGCATGTAAAGCGTCCAAAACGCTCAAGCGAATTTGGTCACATAAGCACTCCAAGCCTAGCCGTAATACACTACTCTCAAGGTTGCTGGAAACTTCTTGACAGACCACTCCAAGCCTAGACTAGTAAACGGCTGGTGAGAACCACTAGAACTCCACAGTCCGTAACGCAATCACTAAAACTCCATGTTCTCATACTAAAAAGGATTTCAACGGTGTATATCGACTTTTTTTCCTCAAAAGCTCTTTGGATGAATGCACTAGTCATCACAATAGTTTGTGGACGATGTACTGGCATCCGCCGTGTCGCTTTTTACGTGCAAAGTTGTTGAGCATTTGCGCAATCGGCCTGCCAAAACTTAATAGGCCGGATCGAAAACAGGATCGAAAGTTGGCTAAACAAGTGTACTTATAGAAAACAAAAAATCAGCCGTAGATTAGGTGAGAATTGTGGGTTGCTGCGGTATATTTGTGAAAATGTCCTGTTACATTGTCTAGTCGTTGTAGTAGGGGTCAAAACCTGATGTCCTGAACTTTCTGTCCAACCGCAACAAGTTATAAATATAGATGTCTACGTGTACAATTAAAAGTAAAAGTTCAAAATTCAAACTTTCAACTTTTGGGTAAAAGGAAGCAAATGTCAGTTATTTCAGTCCGAGACGGGCAGAAGGGCCATAGAACAGTGTTGCACTAGGTGAGTTTATCTCTGTCTGCAATGTTCAAAGCTTCGAGCGAAGCCGTCTGCTTTACTGACAATGGTGTTAAGTAACTTTACGTGAACTCGATGTTCAAAATGGTGCAAGCGCGTGACAAAACATGATCACAACTGGACGTTTCAAGAATGTGGGTCATCTGGCTCGTCACTACAAACATCTCCAAGTATCAGATGAGGACGTTTACTTCAATACTGAAGGAGGTGATAGGCAAGAATGCTAGGAGGAATACTGTTTACCGAACAAACTGTGTGGACTACTGTAAGCAATACTTTGGATAAACAGGGCAAAAGTTATCTACACGCATGAGAGAATATGAAAACTCAATCAATCTACGTGCCAATACAAGTTAAGGACCATCAGCCTGACCGGCCAATGCATCAAATGATGGTAATCAGACGGAAATATCAGGGTACTACAAAGGCAGCTGTGGAACCCACAGGTCAGAGGTCACCTGGAATGAGTCGAAAAGGTCAGACTCGAAGGTCATCAGGATGTCGATCAAAGAAGGACCTAGCCATACATCCCACAAAAGGAGATGAACACCCAATTAACCAATGATAATCAGAGGCCACTCTAACCGGGTAAACAGGTCAGATGTAAGCACAATAGCAGCATTTCTCAGCGCCTACATGTCGACGCACCGCCAACTTACTGTTGACTGGTGATATCATCTCAGTTGGTGACGAGACGTTTGTATTCAACCAACCCAACCAAGCGAACATAAAATCAGCCGTCTGAATAGCTTAAAACACGGCAACCTATCTTCCTTGCTGTGGAAGGCAAGGACTCTCCTGAGAACTTCAGTAACCTAAACCAGTGAACCTATTTTCGATACAGTGATCCATTTATAACCAAGATGAGAGAAGCAGGTGTTCAGAGTTTCTGTATCATCGACAGTGCGCCAAGGTATGCTGTATGTTGCTTCAGAAACGAGCCTGTGAAATTTCCAAAAACCACAGATTGCGCTGGTTAAAAAAAGAGCTTTTTCTTCGGGAAGTGTTTCTTGCTATAAGTAGGATGTGGGCAAGAAATGTTTTAGCTTCTTTTTATTTATTTAATTCGATTGCAACATTTCTGTTCCAAAAAAATGTACCTTTGTGTCAAAAACTTGTTTTCTACCTTCATAGCTAGTCTTGCTCACCTGCCTTAGCTAACTCTGAGGAGCTACGTTGGGATTTCTGAATACCACGACCTACCAGTAACCACTGCCTTGAAGATTAACGCCCCGTCTGAATGCTTTGTTGAGCATCACACATGATGTGACAATGAACACGACAACACTGTGCTCTTATATAGTAACTATATGACCGTACCACTGCCAACTGCAACATATTCTTGTGAGTTAGTGTGGGCTAACTCAAAGGACCACCTATTGAGTTCAGATGTGAATCTTTTGAAGTTGGCAATACACCTGAGAGGGGCAGTGGACATACACTAAGACAACACACGTCCAGGAAATCATTAGCTGTCAAAGTGAAAGTAGTTATGGCCTAGTTTCATGTGGAACCAGTATGCGCGCTGTCACTTGTTAACAAGAGGGAAGTTGATAAGAGAGCGAATCCCAAGGTGGGGCACGTGTTTATACAAAATCCCCGTGACTCATTTTAGCAACCTTTATGAAGTAGGATACCTTGGATCTGTGTTAGTGTTAAGTCTTTAAGTCACCTTGGTGGCATATGGTGTAACATTTCACATGACGTCGCTGTGATTTGAAGTCACAGACAGATGAGCGTTATAGTTTACCATGGCAAAGACCTAAAGACCTCCGTTTATTTGATTCGGTAGGTCGGGTGTTACAAGTGAATTAAACAGCGCTCCACAAACATGGTATTTTCAATTTGAGGGCTATTAAAATGAGACCACCTGCAGTGTTCACTGCTCGCATTGGAAGTCAGCTAAGTTAAATGCACAGCTCTTTCAACGACTGTGTTACATCGTATCTGAAACACCTGGTGTGCAAGTGAAGAAAGCAGTAATAACGACATCAAGAAACACATGAGTGTATTGCAAGCAAGATGAGACATCCGCAGGTAACATAACAGCAAGAAGAATAACTAATGTCCTGTGCCAAGGATCATTGGATCAGATAACATCTTTCACTTCGTATGTACGTATAAAGACTTATTGCGATATATCGAATATCGAACCAACTGAAACACGAGGCAGCCTGGTGCAGCACATTAAGTTGCCTGGAAACATCACAAACCAGAGACTCAGCTGGGTTCCAGGTGAGTCTCTCGGAAAACCAAATCTGTTCGCAAATGAGTGTATTTGCCTAATTTCTCACTTAATTCACAACCAACAGATCAGGTGAACGCGCCAGTTAGAATATTACGGCTTTTCCAAAGTTTTTCCAGAATAGATGAGATCAAATAAGGTCTGTGAGATCCCGCTAGTTCATCAGCTTGTGATTGAAGACCGGTGTTTACACTTTTGGTAAAGAATTAATATGCATACTATTAATTCAATCACTAGAGAATAAAGCTGATAGTGAGAAGTAGAGTAGATTGCTCTAAAGTCATTTCATCCTCGGTAGCTCCACGGTTCACTCATTACATAGGACGTTTGCGGCTCGAAACCACTGACAGACCAGTCTTTTTGCTCACACTAACTGCAGCACAACTTTGCATTTCCTCTCTTCTACTCAATAAAATACGATATTTTGAACACTTCATTTACAGACCCACCAAAGCTGTGAGTTTATAGCTCTATAGTTTAATAGGTGTTTGAAGATCTAAGCTTTCCGGATCGTATTTGTTTAGCTGCGTCTAGTAGCTTTCCCGTTTACCAGTGTGTTTAACACTGTCACGCTGAAGCAGGCTGTTACGATTAATGAACTGCCAGGTGCAAGTTCGTATTATCGTTTTCGTTATGCACCAGAATGTAAAACACTGATCACTTCGGTTATTAGTGGAGCTGTACGCAAATGTCCCTAAGCAATTTTGACTTTGAGAGCAGCCATTTCAAATGTCATGGGAAAAAATTTAACCAAAAAACCCTTAACCAGCATTGAAACTCAACCTGTCCTAAGCCCCTTGTGTCATGTGATGCGCGTATTTATGTTTACACTACTCCTTTAGAAAAGAAACGTTTTTCGAGTTGTATAATCGGTGTTTCACTACTGCACCCTGTCCTCAGAAGAAGTAGCTAATCAGAACCGAAGTAGGGATAAAATTCTTGCCCACAAATGTCTGATTCACTCCTCTAGGAAGAATTCCCAAAGCTGCCGACCTAGATTTCTAGTCCACCAGCACGACACACAGCTGATGTTATCGTCAGTGTTGATATGCTATTCCACCATACTAGTTAGATCTCCTTGACCAGAGTGGCTGACCACTAAATCTGAGTGCACGCAATAACATTACTTGGAAGCAAAAAACTGGAGAATAGGATGAAATAGCACAACCGGTATTTGTCATCGCCACATTACAATACACATCTGCGATATATTTTGTTGTTTTTGTTTCTATTCATGTTTAGGGTAGTGGTAGAAAAATTGCACGTATAGGCAACCTTGATGATGATGACTGACATTCCTCACGTCAATTGCCCCGACAAATCTCTGTCAGGGGTTTGCACTGTCTGGAGCGCCTACTCCAGATGAGTCAATATGATTTCTTAGCATACTGAAAACATTAGGATATGACTAAAATTTCAAAACAACAGCTCGGGATATTCGTGACACATTTTACAAGCTACTAATATCACGAGCAGACATCCTCATCAGGGACACGCTTCTGGGGTCCTCTAAAGATATCCCATTGATCTGCAGTCTATACTTTTATCTGTGTCCCTTGCAGATAGGAAGATGATACATTAGGAACGATTGGCTGTTTTATGCAGTTCAGAAAAAGATACAACTTATATCATTTGTAATCGACAAGGCTACCATTCTCTACTGGGCTCGAATGTTGACAACGCACGTAGACTGTCTGTATTAGCCACGGTAACTTGAATCAATTGGAACAAAATACCTCGACAAAAAACGTGTTCGCTTCACTTGAATTGTTCGTTTTCCAAAAAACAAGCGTCAGCGGATAACAACGGACAGCTCACTTCAACTTCCAACTGCGCTCAGCATGATTACACCGCAAAACTATGTGCCAATTGCATTTAAAGTCTTGAAATCACGAGGTGGTAGGATTCAAGCGTTGTAGTTTAAGAAAGCACCATTGAACAACTTCAATTTCTAGAGTTTCTCACGTGACTTATTAAGACCTGTGAGAACCTGTATTGTGATCGAATCTCATGACCCTTCAAAATGTTGAATTCGATAGTACACTTCATCAATATCGCCGTTCTTCATTCAAATCCAGATCAAATTTTAGTCCTGAGGGTTTTTTGTTTTTGTACATGGAACGGAAATCAGTGAAACTTTGACGTTTTTAGGACAGTGCAGTTGACTCTGAATAATTTCTGAACAAGTGGATTTCGATTGTTTCCACAAGGTCGTGAAGTATCCTCGCAAACCTTCGACAACGTCTCAGTAAATGTTTTACTTTTGCTACTTCGTATGGGATTTACTAAGAATTATACTTGGGTACAAAGCCCAAATAAACCATGTGTAGTCTTTTTGGTTTCGTGTAAAAGACTGCTGCTTTTCGTATGGATCACGTGAGGAAGCACTTTCTTCTGTGAGCTAGCTGAAATGCCGAAAATTCGGGTTATCTTGAAGTTTTAAATCAATGACATCTTGTTCAAGAATGGATTCATCAGGAGAATCCTTCGAGTGTTCCATTTCCAAAGAAGACTGGGTACTGACTGTATGTACATAATTCATCTATTGAAATTGCCTATATGACCTCTTGGCAGAAAGTGATATTTCGAGTAAATTCAAGTCCACTTACCATACTCTGAAACCCTTATCTCAACAGTAAAGGAGTTCCACAACATTGACCAACAGCTTCAGTAGACATGATCTGCTAAAGTCCATCGACCCATCATAGTTTGCAGGCCATTAAACTAATGAAGTTTCTCAAACCCTGAAATCCCTCGGATCAAGCGGTGTTTGGCTTAAGTCCAACAAAATATGCGGCCCTGAAGTCTTCTGAATGTGGTAAAAGGCATTTGAAGAAATCTAGTGCCTTCTCCTACACGCTTATTTGTCCATGTGTTTTTTTTCCACGTCAATGAGGCTGCAATCCTAGTTGGACAAATCAGGGTAAGAGTGATGGGAAACGAATACCAATGGTCTATCAAGAACATCAAACATAACCAATACCAGATTACCTGAAACGGTTCGAGTCTCCTAAGAAAAAAATCTGTCTTCAGAAAAGCCTATATGTGTGCAAATACGGACGGTTTTCGTGATTGCACTTGGGAAACTTTTTGTAAGAACTTGAGGGTAACCAACTTGCATCATCAAGTAACCTATTCCATGCCTCCAAGCGGTGCGTTCATCCCGGACTGAGAAACGCTGGCTTCCGAAATAAATGTCTGAGATCCTTGATCGATAGCAAACACTAAATGAATGGCTCATGCCACTGCTTTAGGTCATCTTTTGAACACATTTTTTGGCACTGCTATTCCACATTGCTATAATAGTTTTGATACCTAATTTGGTTTTGCAAGAGACTCTCCTGGAACCCAGCTGAATCTTTAATTTGTGATGCCTCCAGGCAACCGAATGTGCTGCACCAGGTCGTCTCATGCTTCAGTTGCTACTATATTCGAGAAATCGCAATTCATGTATAATCGTAATGCACTAAACAAAAGGTTTCTGGGAATTCTTCGACAACACACGACCGTTTCCGCCCTTCTTAGGGCTCATCAGGTAATCTCAGTCCCCGAGTTTTTGTCAACCTTATGTCCCACTTAAAACGCACGCCTCAGTCAAGAATTTATACCAATGGCGACAGCTTTTCTAAGATTACCTTGCAAAAGACTGTCGAGATCAGAAGACATACTGATAGTGTCAACACTTTTGCTATTGGTTCTAGCTTGGACCCGCTTCGCCTAAGATCGTCAGGTGGATACCAGTACTGAACACGGGGAGTACCGAGAGTGGAAGTGGTGAACAGGTAGGATGACACCAATTCTGGTTGTTTCTCATTTTGAAGCAATATTTTATACCCCACAGAAGAGTGACGGATCATCAATTTATCATCTAACGGTACTCATTTATCTTCCATTGTGAAACACCTGAAACTTTCATTGAAACGTTTTACTGTTCAGGATGTCAATGAAAATACGGTAAAGTACTGTATGTGGTTGTGTTGTCTGCCAGTTGAAGTTGCCACCCGTATTTTCAGTAAAAGTCCCAATGCCAGTAGATATCCCTTATTTATTTATAGTGAAAATGTGAATTTGATCTTGTTCATCTTTGGTAATCTAATGGTAGCGTTAGCCGATTGCTGTTCAGGTGACCGCTAGCCATTTACCAAGTTAGTTTTCAACTCCAGCAAACAGATCAAGGGCCACCTGATCGAAATCCAATATTTTCAAACTTGTTCATCCACCCGCTAATTTGGAAGTGCAGACTTCCGAATATGAGATTACGACCTTGCGTTAATTAACTCCGCCAAACTAACATATGTTACCACTTTCCAACCCACGCTGAGCGGTCTAAAAGGCCTATTTACAAAGTCCGCAGTAGAAGGATTTATACGTCTTCTGTTCTCCCTAAAAACTCTGTCTGTCGTCTTTGACCGGCGGGCACTGAACCGATATAACCTCAAATAACCTCATTTACGTTTTGTGAAGTCTTGCGCCGTTCTTGCACTTGCTTTGGAAATTTACATCCGGTAATCACCCTGGGCTTCTATAGCCTGGAACAGAATAATGACGAGAAAATATTACATTTTGGTGCAAAATTGTCGAAGGTGACAGATGCTCTAGGTAGGCAGCAGTTTGATTCAGTTCCCCAGCTTCAGTTGATCTTTACATAAATCACCTCACTACAAAAATAAGCAGCAGTCCTTCAAGTGAACACTTCCGGTATCCTATTCATGCCTCTGGAACTCAGCCTGTAAGAAACCCTAAGTCTCCCCAATCATTAACCGAAACTGGGGGGATTTAGCTTCGTCCTTGCTGTTAGGTGTGCTGCATGTGAAGAAAATACCCAGAATATTCTTGGAAGTGGATCATACTTCCCACAGAGGAATTCACCGTAAAGTAAGAAAAGCAAGTATGCAACCATAATACCCTCTTAAAAAAGCCAATTTTGGGTTAAGATGTCTTGTAATCTAGGTGTTTGAATTGTAGCTCAACAGTTATTCCTACGATATTAACCCAAACACTTACATAAAACCCGACGTATTGGCAAGTTCTCACAAGTTCACTTCACGGGTACTAGTTGACGTAAATAGCGAGATCAGCCAGCATGACGAAATCAGGTCACGTGATGTCTACCAAATGAGGGAAGCCCAATACAGGCTGCAAATGCTTTAAGGAAATTTCGGTCTCCCATATTTTAATGTGGAATGAAAATCGCCTTTTGAAGTAGGAGTTCCACTCCGACTGCGTCAAACGGGCGTGGTAAACATGTATTACTCAGAATGAAAAAGTGCACACACAGACGAACCCAACAGCGATAAGAAACGCTGAATCAACAAACGACAATGTTTGATGACGAAAAGTGGGTTACTCTGGTGAAAACTTACACTCAAAACCAAAATTAACAGGAAGGGCGAACTGTATAAATAATTCTGGGTTCTTCATTAGAGAGCAAGGCACATGTACAGTTGAGAGCAGTTATACGGTCTTACTGTAGTACATAACTCTAGCTGACCGCGATTTCTGCAAGAACAACACGTAATAATACTGCCTGAGGTCAGGTTAACCCAGAATTTTTCCTCAAAGCTTCTAACAGATGGGCAACAGGAAGGAAAAATGCAATAAAAGTTCAGGACAAAGACGGGACTAAACGAATGAAGAATTTACTCGCCACCATGTGCACGTAAAAATCCGAAACAATGAGGTTGGTCCACAAAGCTACTGAACTCTGACCACAAAGCTTCATTTAAATCTCAAAAATATCTTAATCAAAGCGGGTGAGTAGTCGTAACGGTAAAATTACAAACGTAATTCTATATGGAACTATTGAAACTTCAGTACACAAAAGGCAAGAAGCACAGTAATATGCAGTCGTATATAGTTAGTACGCTGGGTCATTCAACTAGCTGAGAGGATGGAATGTGCCAGCCACATACAATAATCTCGCCTATGGCCTTGGATTCATCAAACCTCAAGTACCGTGGGCTATTCCTAGCTTCTCTTTTAGAGTACAGTATGCTACAGCCTGTCACTAAGATAATACCTGAAATCCTGGAGTCGAAGGTTGAATATAAAGAATAAAATTTTAATGAATAAGAGATCCATAACAGTGTTACCGAGATTTCTGATGTCCAGGATGTAGAAGTTTTGACCATTTCTAATGCTAAAGTATAAACGAAAAAAATTAAAAACCATACTGTGCAGCCAATTATGGTAAAATATACTCCTGAAAGTCAAAATTTGAGAATGGAATAAAAACTGGGCAATTCTGGTTGAATAAAACTCATCACGGTATCGTTGATGTATGGCAGTGAGCCTGATACATGTCTCAGCTCCCATAGTTGAACGATGAGTGAACAGATGAGTGGTTTGGCCGACGAAGCAATAGAACTGCAGTTGCTCAAATCAAAATGCTAGCTTCGTCCTACAGACCAAGTTGAAGAACTTTGTCCACTTTGTGCCCATCCTGCCTCTAGGACTGGAATTCATAGTGTCACTCCTGCTTTCCATGACCAAAGAACTTATCAGTACTTATAAACTGCCACCATACAGGCATTCCTAGTTACGCTGAACCTGATGAAAGCAAAATTGTTTGCGAGATATATTTACACAGTCCCCATGTTGATGCTTATTACCTTTCCAGCTACCTTTAGGCCCTTTACGGTTTGTGACAATCCGGAAATTATCTTGCTCACCCAAGAAACATTCGGCGCAACCTACTAGGTCTTATTCTCTACAAAGCTTGTCTTAAAGAATCAATTGAAATGGCTCGAATTTTGACTTTTTAGACACTAGGCATCAGTCAAATCTTTCAGGTGTAGACCCTGGTAATTCAATGGTTGATGATGCCCAAGTAAACAATAATCTGATGTAGCAGGACGATTTTTGTCAAGTATTCAAAAAAAGGAAACTGCCGAACAGCCCAAAAACGAATATGTTGGCAAAATGTTGAATCAGGAGTTTAACTGAAAAATTTGGTGATACTAGAGAAAAAAGGAAAAAGCTACCTGCTGTAGTGAATTGACAAAGCTTATAGTCTACGAAATTAGGGTAAATGAAATCTCCATTTTACTAATTTATATAACTGGCCACTTTTGCAATATGGAAAAACAATGGTGGGCCATCATAGTACTGCGCTCCTATCAATGTGCATATGAGGTTAAGGTTGGTGGACCGGCCAGCTGAATTGTTTTATTCAAATTTTTATGGTGGAATTGGTGAAAGTATGATGAACACAAACCTAGTCAGGAGACAAGAGGGGTCAGAGGGCCACGTTTCAGTATACAATGACATCATGAATGTGTTAACAGAGACGTTTGGACACCGCAGTAATTCAAAACTGTGGTAATTAGAACAATGTGCAAAGTGATGCATTTAATCGCATTCTCACCGTAAGCAAGCTGTTCCACGCTGTAAGCACTGGACCGGATTTCCTGGAACTCTGTTGTTGCCGATCTCAAATCAAAATGATTAGGCAGTGAAACCTTAAAGATTGAAATCTGTGTGAGGCAATCGTCTGGTGAAACAACGGCCTCACAACATTGCGTGTTTTCCTAAACTTGATAAGTCTTTTGATTCTGCAAACAGTGTATTACCCATTCCGAGACGGAGTAACTTATAGCGAACCATGGTGACAGGTGCTCGAATCACACAGCTATGCTGCACGCTGCTCTTCTTGCATATCAACTGCACTGTTTAACTTATTGTTACAAATTTAAACAGCAGCGCTTTCTGTCACCGCTCTTTTTGCCTCGATAACATACCTTGTATCCCACCTTCTGAACCCTTGTCTTGTCTTCGGAAATGAAGTTTAATTAATCGGCCACTCCACTGGATTGTTAGGGGACACAGTTCAAGAACAGTGGACCAACTAGTGAACGGTTTGGACTTCAGCCTGTGTTTACCGAAACATGGAACAATAATGGGCTCTGTTTAGGGTTACTCTGAGTTTTATGGAAAATTAGACGGTGAAATCCACTGCTAAGCACAATGCCTGTTGGTTACTCGTGACGTAGAATCCAACGCACCGTGTACAGCTTAGGCGAAGCAGAGTTATGATATTTTCAGGAATTCCAAAGCATTTCTAATAAATTAAAAAACATCCCCCATACCGCAACCTACGGGCCGAGTGTGCTTTCTTCTAAGGAAACATTAATTATTTCGAGAAAATAGAACAATCAAGTGTCCAGTCCATCTCGATATTACGTGTTAGGAATTAAAATGGATTCCTCTAAAAAGCGTATCTTCAGAGATCACTCAAAACAAACAGCTGAGATCCTTGGGATACGCACCTCCACTCTATTTGTTTTCCCTCTCCTCTAAGTTGCGTAGCTTTTATTGTCATTAAATGGTTCATGCAGAGGAAAATAACTTTGAAGTAGTTCGGGACAAAATTCCGCAGTGCATTGGATTGGTTTTCTGCAAACTGTAGTCCCCACTTTTACTGATGAAGTGTTTTGAAACGATCATAATTTCATTTTGATCCGGTTTTGCCGAAAGATTTTTCGCTGTACACTGGATTCAATCTTTTTTCTTCATTTTGCCTTTTTTAGGTCTCAT